GCACATGGTTGAGATCTGGTTCCATTTGCAGGTTGTATCAGAAGTCAGTGGCGCTTCATTTCACTCAGTCGTTTCCAAGTGGAAGCCTGCAGGCCCCAATCAGTTCCGAATGACTGAGGCACCAGAATTGGTGCCGACAGAAAGCCTTCAAAAGGCAATCCCGTTTTATGTCGGTGGAGACGTGGCAACCGTGATCCCTTGAAAAGATTGCACCCATGTTGCATGACAGGCTTCATTTTTTGACATGGAACCTGACGTTTTGCAACCCACTTGCGTGACAGGCCTCCTTTTTTACACGCAGGAACTTCATGTTTTCTGTGCAGTGCACCGTTCGATCGAGTCTCGTCATTTCCTTTCGTCGTTCCATCGTTCGATCGCTCGTTTCTGCCAGGTGATCACCGTGGTCCTGGTCGATGTGCCTTGTGGATCCGAGAAAGATCTATATACCTTGAAGCGAGCCGTTGCTGGCCCTGCATGGTCACAAAATACGCGAGCCGCAAGAGCAGGCCCTGCCTCTGATCAGCGCGGCTTTCCAAAACGTGGCGCCCTGCCTCCACGACGTGGCGCCGGTGTCCGGAAATCTCCGCCACGGCCAGGACTCGCAGGGCTTCTTGCAAGAGCTCGCATAGCGCAGGGCGCACGCAGAGCTCGCGCTTTCGCGAAAAAAACGCGACGCGGAATGTCAAAAAGAGCCCATATGCGGGCTCATATTTTCAGGGTTAGTCCTGGTTATCGCGTTTATCTAATCATGGTTACAAAGGCGCTAAACATGGTTACAGAAGTGGTATAAACATGTTTAGCTAAGTGGCGCAAACGAGTGCTAAATGTGTTTATATGTAGGCTAAAGACGTAGTAAATGAGACAGAGGTTTAGCAACCACGACGGGCATCCAAGGATCGGTGCCCTGTGCACCCCGGCCTCACACTGGACCAGAACGTTAAACCCGGCAGCAAGGGTAGTGAAGGCCGCTTGTTTGATATCCTGCAAGGCCTGATCACGTTTCGCGCCAATTGAAAGCAATCCCGCTGTGCCACTCCGCCAGGACACTCAGAGGCGGTTTTCTCCATAGCAGATGCAATCAACCCAATATCGTTGCCTCGCACCCAACGAGGGTCTTTCGGCAGACCAGCAAGGTAGAGCGACCCGTGGCCGTCGGCGCCCCAAAAGACCAATGTAGGAGGCTCTAGTTGTCCACTGTGTCCAGGTCGTGCCCAACGTTCACGAGCGGCGATATCGAACATCGCATCGGAGACCTCGTTGAGCGGCCCCGCCGGCGGCGGAGGTCGAGCCTTGGTAGCCGGTGGCTGCGGCTTCTTCTTGACAGCCACCGCCGGAGTCCCCGCGCCCCTGGCAGGGGTGGGCTGATCCACCGTGGGCAGGAGACACCTGCTCAGGCGCAGCCGGCGCCGCCGTCTTCTGAGGGAGGCGTCGCCTCTGCAGGGGAGGCTCGTCCTGCTTGGGCGCCAGTCGCGGAGACACCGTAGGCTTCGGCAGCGATGGAGAGGAAGAAGGTCCCGGCAAGGCTGTAGCAGCTGCCCGCTTGCGCAAAACCCGAATAATCTTCTTTCCAGCTGTACGGATAACCGCCAAGGATGCCGGCAACAACGATTTCACCATAGGCATTCCAGGGATGTCTTCAGACGAGACGCGGACCACCTTGGGGCTCTCGGACAGCAACTCGTCCGCGGCTACCATAGCTTCGGACCATCGCTCCACAGCGGATGTTGTCTTGATTTCTTCCCAAAGAACCTCGGGTGCACTGGCCAGGAACAAAGCAGCAGCAAGCCGGAGTTGGTGGCCTTGCTTTTGTTTCTGGGCATCGTATCGCAATGGAGTCTGCGCTGTAGAGTTGCCACCCGCAGCGTCCGTCCATTGGCCAATAGCAAGGCGCTCGGTATCGGTGAGCCGCACAATACCTGCTAAGGTGGGCACCACCCTCCTGAAGCTACACGAGCTGAGGTTCTGCACATCCAGGACGCCATCAAAATAGGGGCAAACCACTCGAAAGAACTGCCCAATCGACACGGGGACACCTGTGTCAGAGTCGAAGGCCAAATAGTGCCAACGACGAAACCCCTCGCCATGTCTTGGACGGACCTTGTCCAACTGGCGTTTCCAAATGGCATAGAGGTCGAGGCTGCCCAACTGCCGAGGAATCGACCAGGCGAACCCATCCCGGGTCCACCAGAAGATGAGGATGGCGGAGTTCGCACCAATAAGGTAGCTCCGTTGCACGTGGCAAAAGCGAATAAGCCCAAACACCATGGCAGCAGCAGCCATCAGAATAGGCCAGTGAGCGTGCTCGGCCGTGTACTCCAGGATCCCTCCGGACCGGAGCAGGCTTGGAAGCTTCACTCAAATCCAGTGGTACACGAAGGTTTCGGATCATCCAGCCCAGGGATGTAAAAACACGTGTAGGACCGTGGTGCTCCCTGACGAAGGTGGCCAATGCGTGGGAGTCGGGGAACTTCAAGCCCAAATGGTCCATATAGCGCACCAAGTCCTTCCAGGTATGGACCACGCGCTTGATGGTGGCCGCCTCAGTGCGGGCGCATAGCTTCTCCAAGCGGGAGGACCAATTGGCCATGTATTCATCTTGTCTGGCCTGTGGCGGAGGCATCAACGTCACCATGATGCCCAACAAATCACGAATGAACAAGGCAGCGACTCCGCCCTTCGCACCGGCCGACTGGGCTGGCTGCTTCTTTGGCTTGACAGGCCCAGCAAATGAAGACGGCTTTGGACGTGCCACCGAAGACGAAGGCAATGAAGGAGCCGGAATACTGGAGGGTTGTGGCGGGCGAGACTGGCGAACGGTCTCTCTCGCAAAAAGGTGCCAAACTAGGGCTGCCATCCCCGGTTCGCTCTCACAGCGAGCGAGATCCCACCCGTCTGCCACTGCGCGGCCGGCTTCACGAAGAGCTTCCTCGTAGGAGGTAAACCAAAAAGCCAAGTCGCTGGCACTCTGAATCCCCATCCTGGCACACCAGGTATTCAGTTTCTCCTGCTCAGCCGCGCGTCGAGCACTTGCGTCAGCCATGGCTCGCACACAAAAAGAATCTTGCGAATCAGCGACCCTGATTCACACGGAGCGACACTCCTTTTTGGCTTGAGCCTCAAGCTGAAAGGAGTGAGTGAACTGAATGACATCAAATAATTCCTCATCACCGACCCTGCCTACCTTGAATGAATGAATATACACCCCAAAAATACAGTTATATATTGAACAAATGAAGGAAACAAAGGTGCCCTTACTTTCTATTTGTCCTACAGTATGTATCTGCTCTATTGAGTTTTCTGCATTGGCCCACACCTTACGCACTGCCCAAGATTAAAAAGAGGCCTGAGGCAATCCAGTGGGTAGGCCAGTATGGGGGTCCGGTGTTCCACAGGTGTTCGTCATGTGTTCCTTGCCATTGCGGCTGGGAGGCTAAAAATGTGGCTCCAAAAAAAGTATCCAAACAGCATCAAAGAGTGAGAAGTGCATGATTCTTTTGGAGCGCCTTTTTGGAACAGAACCTTCCAACACCTTGGAGCAAGGACGCTACTAGTAGCTCCTGGCATCGCTACTAGGACGCTTCATAACCCAAAGTAGCAGTCAATGGTCTTGAGATCTCGACGACTGCTTCGAGTAGCGTGTCTTTGGTGGCTGAGGCGTCCTTGCTCCTAGTACCGATGCCCTTGTTACTAGTAGCGATGCCAGGAGCTACTAGTAGCGTCCTTGCTCCTACTCAGTATCAAAACATCTCAAAACAATATATAAGATCCATTTGAGTTTCCACAAACTTGCTTGCTATGAATATGGTTCTTTCACACATGGCCTCAAAACAATCTGCTACAGTATGGTCACATGTCTGAGCCAGCCGATCGTGCTGGTACTTTTCTGAGATGAGGAGGCTCATAAAGACGACGAGAAGCCTGAAAACTTAGAAGCGATGGCCTCCAACCAAATGGCCATCTAGGTGAATCTTCAAGCTTCGGCCAAGCATCTCTTCCGAACCTGTGGGATCGCAGAAACCTGAGACCCAGCGCGACAAATTCTGCAAAAAAATATCTGATGCTGTGAGAATAAATACTCCAATCACATTCATATAATTGCCTTACTTGCAAGTTGTTTATCACAATTTGAGTATAGATCTTGGCAAGACTGGACAACACTAGTGCCCAGCAACGTGTTGAGCATGATCTCTTTCCTCTCTCGCCGTTCATTTCGCCGGTCGATCTTCTTGTGGCTGCGCATGCTCCACGCCTTCGGAATCCGCTGTCACACAAAGCGATAGCTGCAGCTTGAAACGATGAGGGGAGGCCGCAGTAAGATTAAGTAGCCAATATGGGGTATGTAGTAGCTCAGGAAGCTACGAGTACTTTCTAGGACGCAAAAGGTCTCAGGCTTTATGATTTGGTTCCTAGATGCTTGGGGTAACTTGTGGACACTCATCATATAAGTAAGCATTGAATCGAACTCGGAACCAAAACGCCAAGCAAAGGAAGCATGCAAAGGCTGCGAAGGGTTTCAAGCAACAAATTGACTCGGAAGGCCCTGCAACGTTGTTACACCTAGCTCTCCTTTAACATGAAGGTTTGACGATGCGCTTTGCAAAACCTCGAGGGATTCCAGCACAAAACGGGGTTCAAGTGCATGTTCTGGTCGCCTGCTTGTGCCCGCGGGAGCCAGTGCGCGCACGTGAGCCGGAGCCAAACACTTGCGTAGCCACTCAAATCATCAATTCTCACTAGTAGCTTCTTGTTCCTAGTAGTACGGCCAGGAGCCGTCCTTGCTCCTAGTAGTAAGGCCAGGAGCCCCTAGTAGCGTCCTTGGTTGTTCAATTCTCATGTCCCTACAACTATGCTCTGTGGTGCGACAGCATCAAAGCAGGCTAAAATATCTACCAGTTCAGGACATATTCTGATCGTCGTCCAGTGGAGCTGGTGCACCCTTGGGCCACTAGACTCGGACTCGAGAATGTGGACTCATTGCAGTGAATCTTGGGCATCCTGGCTGAAGAATCAAATGGCACCTTTACCTGCAATCAGGAGTTGCAGAAGCAACGCAACATCATGCCAGCCAGCCCAGCCAGCCCAGCCACTAAGTAAGCAGCAAATCGACCGACCGACCGCATCAAAAATACCTATATGCTGCAAAAATATCTTCTGATCAAAGTAAAAACATTAAAAAACCCAAGCAACAACGAGAACAGCAAGATGGCTTCCTTATGTGGGCCTCTCCCCAAAACATGATGTCGCAAGGGTCACATCATGTGAACAACATGTTCACAGAAAAGGAGTATGACCTGCCTTGTCATTCAGCCGTTTACAAAAGCTTAACAATACACAAATGCATGCCATATGAAGGAAGAAATCAACCATCAAGGCGATTTGCAACTCACCCAAGAAGAGTACATCAAAAAGCGTAACTCACGAAATTGCAGCCTTTTGCGTCTGCCCAGCGTTGGGGTCAAACCTGGGAGCGAAAGGTTCCACACTCCTTGACTATTCACGAAACCGAGAAGCAATCACTCAACTCAACAAACAGTTCTTGCATTATCTTTCATTCTAAGCAATGTCAAAATTCACAATTCCATGCTGAATGCAGCGAATTCGAGTTACATACCAGTTACTTCATTGTTGCTGAGAAGTTTAGCTTTTATAGATGAGTTGGGTAGGAGAGCGCAGGGTGTCCACGGGTGGCAAACTTGCCAAAGGCACAAGTGCGAATCAAAGGCAGCACATGAACTGCAATGAACTGCAAGTTTTCACGAGCGGTTGCCAACACTCACAAGGACACTTCCTTTTGCCGTGGATGCACCACTCGTCTTGTGCAACCCGTGCTCTGTGGCCACGGGTGGGGGGGCCGGGAGTGGCCTGATCCCCAAAAGCTACAGCGAAGGCACGCAGCTCTCAAAAACCTTGCGTTTTCCCTTCGCTCAAACTCTCATGTTTTCACGAGCGGTTGCCAACACTCACAAGGACACTTCCTTTTGCCGTGGATGCACCACTCGTCTTGTGCAACCCGTGCTCTGTGGCCGTGTCCTCCATCTTGATGGCCTGGTGCTTGTTCTCGAGCTTCTGGGCGTGGCATCCGAAGTCGAAGTTATCCTCCTTCTTGGTCTCCTTTTTGTGCTCGACATTGGATTTGCCCTTCTTCGAGTGCTCCTCAAAGGCCATCTTCTCCTTTCTGGGTGGCAAGAGCTGGCCATCAGCCTTCGCCATCCCTTTTGCTAAGTCCCTCTGCTTCTCGTGGGTCTCCCACAGGTAGGCATGGAACGCTTCCGAATTCCATCGACCGAACCGTTTGACAACTTCAAGGTCGTGGGTCGATTGGTAGAGTGCTGTCGCTCCCCCAATCCTCAGGCTGTGGGAACCATAGCGTGTAGATGCCTGTCCATCAGCGACTGCAGCTAGCTGTATGAGGCCCTGCAGGTCGGTTCGTGGGATTGGCTTGCCGTCCATGTATCGGAACAGTGGCATCTCCGATTCGGCTCCAGCGAAGCGTTCGGGGCATAATGCTTGGTAGGCGGCCAAAGCGCTCACCACGCACAAGTCTGAGCCACTGCGGAACTGATTGCGCACTGCTCCTTGGTTGAACTGGTCGGTCTTCGATCCAGACAGGTAGATCACCACCTCTTCTGCATGGTGAAGCGTTGCCACCTGCTTGTTGTCCTTCCTGCCCTCAACATTGGAGCCCTTGAGAACCCGCGTAGTGCCCCAGCTCCGCCCTGCACTGACAAGGAACTCTGAGGCTCGCAGCAGGAAGAAGAAGCCAGTCATCACCGCTGCCCACATAATGACCCCATTTGCCCGGTCATAGTTCCCATTCTCCTCAAGGTGCCTCTTCATCCAACGAAGCATGTTGGGGAGCACTGGGTATTTGCGATTGGTGTCTGGCTGCCACCGCTTGAAGCCATTGAGCGCTGCCCAGATCCTGGTGCGATGCAACGTAGGGTCCTCATGGCCTGCGACAAGGTGTCCCATCTTGATAGCGAAGAGGCGCTGCTTGATCGTCCCCTCCGTTCTCTTCATCACGTGGGCGAGGTAGGTCATGAAGCGCAGCAGTTCATCTTCGTCCTGCTTGCGTGCCTCCTTCCCTTCCCCGACCAGGTAGATGTCCTTCTTCTCGAGCCGCCGCCACAAGCACCACTGTTTCCAGCCAATCTCATAGCCGGCCCTTGTACCCTCCGACAGCTTCGACATCACTGCCTCTGCAGCGAGCGCGTCTAGCCAAGCGATGTCCTTCTCCAGATCACGGTTGGCGTCGAGGCAAATCTTCTCCCTGCTTCTCCCGATGGCCACTGGGTGAACCAGTGTTTCAGGCGGTGCGGACTTCGACCGGTTCTTGGACCCACGGGGTCGGCCTCCAACACGTTCACAATCTCCAACACGATCTTTCAGCCATCGTTCATATTCTCGTTGCGGGTGCTCTCGATTGCCCTTCCACGCCAGCATCCAGGCCCGGACTTGGGCGTCGGCTGCGGCTCTGTCTCTATCCCTGCAGACCCCCACCCGTTGTACCAGGTTGGGATTTTGGCGCCACCTCTCGAGCCAGGCGATCACCCGGTGGCAGGTCTGTTGCGGGCATTTCCTCATGGCATCTCGCCGTAGTTCCTCTTCGTTGGTGCCGTTCTCCTTCAACAGCCGGAGCTCCTCGACCCTTCCTCCATTCAGCAGCCATTCTTCAGCTGGGTGAATGATGCGCCCCTGGGTCTTCTCACCCCGGTGATCGATGACGACCATGTCAAAGCCTTTCTTTGCCGTCAGGGCGGGTCCCCTGATGTCGTAGAGCAGCTGCTTCTCGTTGTCCACCACATAGTGTCCCGCTGGCCATGGGAGCATTCGGTCACCAGTGGTCGAGATCTTCGCATTGAGGCGAATCTCAACTGACTCGTCCAACCACCTGGGTGGTGCCACTTCCCCGGTTGCCTCCAGGGTCTTGTAGATGCTGCAAGCCTCACCTGCACTTCGTGGGACTTCCAAAGGCGGCTCCCTTTCCATGCCGGCGTCCCAGGCGATCAGGATCTCCTTCCTCTTGGCGACTGGGTCTCCATAGTCAGTGGTTCTGCACTGCATCATGCTGCAGGTGTATCCCAGCCGCTTCAAGATCTCCTCCGTCTCCTTGTAGGGCCCTTTGAGCGGGAAGTCGACCAACACATTCTCGGGGTGGTACATGCGGACGAAGTTCGTCAACATGGCTCGACTCCCTCCCCAACTGTCTTCGGCAATTGAGGCGAAAGCCCACGTGATCTGCTCCTCCACTTTGACAATCTCCATCGAGCCAAGCGTGAGGTGCTCGATAGCTTCCTCCCCGCGATTTGGTTTGCCCCCGATGCCCTTGGTGGCGCCGCCCAAGCGCTGCCAGGCTATGGCCCATGGTAGTCGCCCGCGCCCGATCTCCACCGCAACTCCCTTGGCCTCCACTGCTGCGTAGGTCACGGTCGGGTTGATCATCTTCGTGTCTGATTGTCCCAATGCATCACCTCCTGGCCAGCGATAGATCCCATCAATGGACTCCTGGATGTAGTGCTCCCAATCTTCTTGAGCTTCGGCCTTCACCCAGCCGTCCAGCTCCATCTTGTCCTCCACCGCCTTCTTGGTTTCTCTACTGATCCAGTCGGCTGTTACGTTGTGGTAGGTCCGGATATAGAAGGCCAGGGTCCTGAAGCCGTAGCGCCCCTCCAACATGCCGAGGATGCGGATGATGTGCCTGGCCACGGCACACCGGGTCTGCCTTTTGGTCAACCACGATCTCACGTTCTGGTTGTCCGTGGTGTAGGCGACGATCTCTCCTTGCCAGTTGGGTCCCTGCGAGGCGGCAAATCCTACATAGCAGATCAATTCCGCGAGGGCGATCTTCACCTTGACGTCCCCTTGAAGTCCGGGTACTCGATCGAGGGCTCGAAGCATGCTGACCGCGTCCTCTCTCATGTAGATCTTCGCTTTCCAGTCAAGCGTCCCGGCAACTGTGGGCGTGGCATCGCCTCCTAGCCATCGCAAGCGTCCCTCTCTCCCCGGAAGGGCGAGGAGCTCACGGGTGCTCAGCAAGTTCTCCAAGGAGGACTCGAAGCTGCCTTCATACGGCGCTTCGAACCAGATCCTCATGAGATTCAAGGTCTCGTCCCATCCCTGCCAGGCAATCTCCGCTTCCTCCGGCTCCGTCACGTTGGGTTTGATGTAGCCACCTTCACATTTGCTCGGGGATAGGAAAGCGTCGATCACTGACAGCTCTGTCCTCAGCGCAGGCATGGTTATGGCGGCATACTGGCCAAGTCCACGAAGTTCCTGGGCCGTGCGAAGCTTCACCAATCGTCCCCCAGGTTGTAGCTCGGGAAGCGCCAGTAGATACCTCATCTTCAACGCCTTCGGTTCTGGGAGCCTGATGGTCATGGCATCAAGGTTCATATGCAGCCCCCATACGATCTGCTCGACCGAAGGTGTCCCTTCTTCGACCTGCTTCTCGAGGTTCAAGGCTGCGTCCCCCCAAATCTTCTTGATGGCGTGCCCGAGAGCATCGACGGCTTGCCACGGCCTCACTCCTAGTAGGGGCTCGATGATCACTCCATCATCCATGAGCCACTCAGAGCTGAAAGGGGTAGGCCCGTTTGTCTGGGCTTCCTGCGGCACGAAGGACTCATGGTATGCCCGGCCTGCAAGTGCAAAGGCGACATACTCCCCCGGTGCGCCACTCCATCCAAAGGGCAGGCCGCCATAGATCATCTTGACGCGACCCTCGATGCCAACCGCTTTGCCCGGCAGGGCTGATCCAAAGTCCGCACACTTCTTTGGGTCGACCGTGTGCCACTTGAATGCCCTGCTGACGTCCAGCTTTGCCATGAGACATCTCACCCCAGGATTCCGTGCGCTCCACCAGAGTGCCTTCCTTGCGATCTGACGATGCCGCGGCTGGACTGCTGGCGGATGTTGGTGTTTGTGGGTGGCAGCATTCGCGGTCATCATCGCGTGGATAGGCCTCCCTTCCTTGCTGATGCTGCGGTCTGGGAGTTGCTTTGGCACCCTTCCTTGTGGGCATTCGATCAGCGTGGGGGTGAACTTCTCCGTAGCGTCAGAGGCAAAGAGAACAATCCCCCAATGGCCATCTTTCCACGCCTTCTCGAACATCTCGTCAACATGCTCGAGCGCGGACGGGTAGGCCTCAGCTTTGAGCCTTGTGGGTGGATACTTGCGCCGGGTGTCGATGCCCACCTCGTTCATCTCCTGGATGTAGGCCGCATGGGGTTCCTCCAGCTGTGCAAGAACTTCAGGGTCACCTGCTCCAGCAGTAGGCCGGCCAATGACAGATTCTCTGGCCCGCCTCAGTCCCTCCATGGCCCCTTCCAGCGAGCCGGCAGCTTCCAACAGCTCGTCTCCCATCTCGACTGCTCTTCTGACCACCTCGGGCTTGTACTTGGGGTGGGCCCTGCAATGCTTGATGTATTCCAGCGCCTTCTCCTCCGCAGCGGCCGTGAGGGT